TTTATTATATGCGTATATGTATATATATATATAAACGCAAGAATAGCTTTGGTCATGGCTATAGTCAGGTGGCAATTTTTCTGTCCATGTCTCCACATGGCCCAGTCCTCTGGTGTCTTGCACCCTTCCACCTCTGCTTCTGGGATCTCCGGCTGCAGTGGTGCATCAGGAGCTACCCCTCCCAGTGGGGCCTCAGTGGCATCAACGGGCTCCTTCCTGGGAGTGCTGCACTGGGATGGCTCCTCTTCTGGCTGCGCAGTTCCCTGGATGCCGGTGCTATGATCATCCGCGATCTCCACATGTTCGTCCATCTTTTGCTGCTTTTGGGGCAGATCATGTTCTACATTTCCTTCCATGTCATCCTTCTCACCTTTCACGTCCTTTTCATCTTCGGATGCATGTTCTATGCCCGGCACGGCCATGACCTTTGATTCTGCCCCACAGATCCTTCGCCTGAGTTTCTTCCAAAGCTGCCAAAGTTTCTTCCTCACACGCGAAGACAGAAGAGGTAAGCAGAGCAACAGCAGGAAGGCGGCGGTGAGAATGACTGCCACGTATTTGATGCCGCCCTCCTCCATTTCTGGGAGGCCTTGAATTTGCAAGGTGCCCAAGGCAGGCAAAAAAGCCTGACACTTTGGCCCTTCAGCTATGCAAATGCACACCTGATAGCCACCACCATATGGAGCTTGCGGAAAACTACATGTTTGGCTGTCCACAGTGCTGGGCGCACATTTCACCATACTGGCCACAGGGGACGCATAGTGGCACAAGCCTTGCTTGGGGCTGGAAGGCTGCTGTTCACCGTCATCACGTACTAGAACCCCATGGAGGTCATTGCCTGCACTCAAGGTTCTGAGATCAATGCCATGGAAGGTTCAATCATCTTGAAACATTCCTGAAAATATGGGTTGTGTCAAGATTTGGAACCCCGAAAACCAATTGCTTTAACCTCAAGTTCCATGAAAAATTGCCATGAAATCGGACATCCCAGCAATTTTTAAAGGAACCCATGGGCAATCCAACTCCGTGAAGGACACCAGTTCTTCGATGGAAATTTGACCCTAAAAAGTCTTAAACTCTGTTCAACATTCTCCCAGTTGCTGAGGTTCGTCCCAAAGATCTGCAGTTCCATGGGTTCATCTTGCATAGGCTTCATGGGTTTCACCTCCCAACTCTCCACCGTGGCCTAGGCAGGCGCCACGGAAAGTTTCACCCCACTTTGTAGGGGGTTGGTCGGATATAAGCCACAAGAAGTGAGGTCTTGCCCACCAAAGAACTAGGACTAGGATTTTGCCATCCGCAATTGATGATAGAACCATTGCGAAGATCTGGCCATCGAAAGGAAGGATGCAACAACGAAAAAGGTCAAATCCAAAAGAAGTTTCTATCAGGACCAAGCATCCAAGCAGGGAGACTTCATGCAGAAGCGCTCCTCTTGAAACACCGAGCAATCCGCGTTGGGTTCCAAAACTCCCAGTACCCGCCGGTACCAGATCTCCTTCCTCGACAGGTCACGGGGTTCCGTCTTGCAGCTTTAAAATGGCTGGAGAAAAATTGACCACAGTCCTTTCTCGTCAGAAGGAATCGGAATATGAATACACTCTGAATCCCATGACCCTTAAAGAAATACCGTAGGGATCCATAGGGTGGCTGAACAGCATGGCTAAAGCCGAGAGGAACATTCTTTTTGACACTCAACAGTGGCTTGCAACTGCTGCCCTGGCATCCCGTCATCCCCTCGCCCCCTCGCAACATCCCAGTTGTTGGTAGCGAAGCCACCGCGATCCACCATTTCCCTGTGGAAAGGAGCACACTACATCCTTTACGCATGGAACTAAGCACCATCTCCCTTCAGGTTGAATTGGAAGGAAGCCAGCAATTCTCCAAAACACAACGGTAGCCCCTAACTTCAGTTCTCAGCTTCCCAGCCCCACAGGAGGCACTGCAAGACTGTAGCAACTGCCAGGGAGTCACCAGACATCCATCGATGTTGGTCCTTGCCGCAGGGCCACAGGCCATGTCAGGCCCCGCAATCTGACATGGCTGAGTTAGATCCACGAATCCACGGCTGGATATGTTTGGTTTGTTCGGAGATTTTGTCAAGAAAAAATCAGAAAAAATGTATGTTGTACCGAGCTTAAACCAAAAGGCGACCACAAAACCAATGCAAACTGTGATGGAAACCGAGTTGATGCGCTAATGGCACGGTCCTTTCGCCAAAAATCTCAGCAAAGCCCAAGTAGTAGGGCAACATCCCACTGCCTGGTGGAAGCCAACATAAGGCTTGTATTCCCTCGGGCAAGGCCACATCAAATCGTAGGTAAGAAGAACTCCTCAGATGCTGTCACCAGTGAAAGACCCCGGTGCTTCTAGCAAAACCTTGGGGCGAAACCTTGACAAAGATGCCGGTGGAAACGGCTCTCCCATGCTCCTCCTACTGCTTTAATCATCCGTATTTTCTCTGCGCTTGCTTTTCCTATGGGGAATTTGGGGACCACTTTCCTGGCAGGAGTCCAATCCGCTGGACTGTGAACGGTGCTTTGTGCTGGGAGCACTCGGCCCTCACCAACACAAACAGTCTGAGTGTTCGTGGGAGCCGAATTCAAGGGCACGCTGACCAAGCTATCCTCGTGCCCCAAGCTGACGCCCTGCAGGGAAATCTGCATGAGTTCGCTGCTGGTTCCCTGCAAGGTACCTCGTGGGATGGGCGATGCTCATTTCCCTAGAAAACAACCTGAAACCCAACTCAAGTGGGTGTTCAAGAGGATTCAAGAGGAAAATCGCCCCCATTCTCCTAGGTCAAGAATTCAGGGGCACACCCGAATCCAACCAACAAATCCGATTCCATCCACAAGTGGCGGGTTTTGCCAAGCAGCGATTCAAGGGGAAGGGCCCAAAGACTTCCAGATGCCCAAGGTGGTGCCATCCTTGACACTCCTGTGACATTGGCACAGCGCCGGGTTCACAAACGCAGAGCTCATAATGCCCTGGCACCGTGGCACGGGCTGAGTCCAGGTCGATGCACCTCAACTGGAAATTGAACGACTGGAAGGAAGTACTCTGGCCATTGCAAACAGGAAAAACTGCGGCTAGGTGCAATGAATATAAATTTATATAAATTTAATATAATGAACAAACAGAAACTATGATGGATGACTGACTCACCTTTTGTGTTTGCATTAGTTAATTAGTTGGTTCAAACCAGCATGCCAGCTCTCGGCAAGGCACTCTGTCGCTTGACATGGCAAGCTTTTGAAATTCTTTTCTGCTGCTTTCTTGCCTGGTAGTTGTCCGCAGGTTTCACCCCATCAGCGCCAGAACGGACAACCCAGCAAAAACGTAACATGTCAATTGTTTATCAGTATCATTCAAAGCAGCTGATAAACCACAAGAATTTCTTGAAGTGAGTAAGAGATCATCATCCTTACCTTCGTAGGAAAATGATGAGACAACAACGAGACTAAAACAAAGGCTAAACAACGGTTTATCCATTTCTATCTGTCTTGGTTTTCGACTGCATGTGTTAATTCTCCAAGTGAGAGACGGTACTGTATATCGGAAGCTGGCCACAAAAAATGCAACAAATACCCGGCGCAAAGTCAATCAATTGTGAAGTCATACTGTGGTATTGACCAGTGTGGTTCGGGTTAAAAATGGATGGTAACACAATGATTCTCTAAGAATCATGGCCACATACATATCCACTTTCATTGTCCACTTGCTCAGTCGACGTGCGCCCCAAATACCCATTTATACGGAGTACCAGTAGCACCGCACAAGGCGGCGGCGGAAGTTTCAAAAATAGGAAACCTATAGGAGAGGTTGGTTGTCGTGAATCACGGATGGCAGAGCAAATCCACTGATGGACCGATAGGTGGTTGGAGTTGGATTTTTTGGAGTGGTCGCAATGGTTGCAGTGGTCACCTCACAACAACTGCTGGATGTAGTGTGGTGTAGTGTGGTGTAATGTGCTGTAGTGTGCTGTAGTGTGGTGTACTGTGGTGTATTGCAGTTGCAGTTGTAGTTGTAGTGTGTGTAATGGAGTTGTAGTTGTAGTGTGGTGTAATTAGTGTAGTTGCAGTTGCAGTTGTAGTTGTGTATGGCGTAAATACCGTAGCATAGTGTAGTGTAGCCTAGTGTAGTGTAGTGTACTGTACTGTAGTGCTGTGTACTGCAGCGTGGTATAGTGTAGTGTAGCCTAGTGTAGTGTAGTGTAAAATTGTGTAGCTGTAGTTGTAGTTGTAGCGTAGTGTGGTGTAATTAGTGTAGCGCAGCGTAGTGTAGTGTAATGTAGTGGTAGCTGTAGTTGCATTTGTAGTTGTGGTATGTTGTGGTGTGGTGTGTAATTGTTGTTTTTTAATCTAGTGTAGTGTACTTTAGTGCTGTGTACTGTAGTGTAGTGTAATCTAGTGTTGTGTAGTGTGAAGTAGTGTCGTTGCAGTTGTAGTTGTAGCCGCAGTTGTAGTGGTGTAGTGTAGTGTTCCTAGTGTAGTGAAGTGTAATGTAGTGTAATTGTAATTAGTGTAGCGTCGCGTTGCGCAACGTAGTTGCAGTCGTAGTCGCAGTTGTAGTTGCAGTTGTAGCTGCAGTTGCAGTAGCGGTAGCAGTAGCGGTAGGAGGAGTAGTAGTAGTAGTTGTTGTTGTAGTTGTAGTAGTTGTTGTTGTTGTTGCTGCTGCTCACACCCAAGGTACGGCCCCGTGGAATATGCTTGTTTTTAGAAAACATGGGTTGGGGTGGGGCGGGGTGGGATGTTAACGTTCATGTTACGCTGATGATGTTACGCTGCTCGTGGGGGTTGGGGTGGGGTGGGGTGGGATGTTAACGGTATGTTACGCTGATGATGTTACGCTGCTCGTGGGGGTTGGGGTGGGTTGGAGTGGGGTGGGGTGGGATGTTAACGGTCATGTTACGCTGATGATGTTACGCTGCTCGTGGAGGTTGGGGTGGGGTGGGGTGGGATGTTAACGTTCATGTTACGCTGATGATGTTACGCACATAGATGTCCTGTTCCCATATGGGTTGGTTGATTAGATTTATTTTTTTTTCCTTGGTCCCTAGGTAAATGATGGTAGATGGTACACCCAAGGAGCTGTGCAACAAGCATAAGCTCACTCGAGATGTGAATGGATCCATCGAGACTACGTGTTTGCGTTTGTTTGTCGCACAAACTGGGGCAACGCAAACACGTTGAAGAAGCTGGCTGAGCGTAGCGTAGCGCAACAAAGTGTAGCGTAGTGTAGTGTAGTGCAGAGCAGTGCAGTGTAGTGTAGTGTAATTAGCGTACTGTAATGTAGTGTAGTTGTAGTTGTAGCTGCAGCTGCAGCTGTATTTGTAGTGGTCGTTGTAGTTGTACTTGTCTATTTTGCGAGACCTCCACAATTTTCGAAGTTGACAACGTCAAAAACGAAGCAATTCTGCGAGACTTCTTCAATTTTCGAAGTTGAGAACTTCAAAAACGAAGCAATTCTGCGAGAGTTCCTTCAAAAAAGTCTGACCGCAGAGCTGACGGCCACGTACCAATGCGTTTTGCGATGTTTCCACTCCATCTGTCTAAAGTACTGCGCCTGCCATGAAAAAGTGATGCCAGGTCATGCGAAGTGCTGCACCTGCCAGCAAACCTGAATATCTGATGCTCCAAAATGCAGCCCCTGTCAGGAAATCAGCGCCCTGACCTCTGAACATCTCTGATCAACATGTCTCTTGTACTACGCCTGCCACGTGAAATGCATCTTTCCAGATCCTCTTCAAACGTCCCACGCCTGCCATCGTTTTTGGAAACACTACACAACCCTCACGTTTTGCTCACTTTTGGTCAGATGCAGAAGCCCTTGCCCCTATCACACAAAACCACATCTGAACCTTCAAAAGTGGTCCGAGCATGTGGTGCTTTTAAAATTTTGACTTGGAAATGTGCTTCGCGCCACAACTGCATGCACTTTTCCGACATCTCAACTTCCAAAAGTGCTCCGAACCTTGTGTGCTTTGCGCATTTTTAATTTCAAAATGTGCTTCGTGCCACAAAGGCATGCACTTTTTCAACATCACAACTTCCAAAAGTGCTCTGAGAATGGTGCTTTGTACATTTTGACTTCCAAATGTGCTTCGCACCACAACGGCGTGCAATTGTTCATCTCGCATCTAGCCAGATGGCTCCGCACCCGCCGCTTTAGCGAGCCTACTTTTCGACCTTCCGGAGCCACAAATCATTTAAAAAATTTTAAAAAAACAATAAAAAAACACAGTGTTGTTTCGCCACTTTTCTACCTTTTCCCGCACCTGCATCTTGTTTCTTCTGACTCTTTCTCTTCTCTCATCTTCTCTCTTCCTCTCTTCTCTGACTCTTCCCACCTCTGCTTTTCCATCTGTCCATATTGTCGGAAGTTTGACTTCTAAACTTCCTTCGAATAACCCAAGCACTCACCATGGATCAATCCCAATTACATTCAAAAAAAACCATCAAACATGTTTTAACAATGAAAAAGGGAGAAAAAAGACGGAAAGACGAAAATTCCCCCCTTGATAAAAACCATCCAAGGTGCAAATTCCCTTGGTCATGGTCTCCGACTTCACGGCCTTCAGTTGCGTGGCGTAGCCGCCGGCCTCCGCCATAGCTTCGGTCCCCAGGGCGCCGTTCACGGGACGGCGCCAGGGACGGTGCCAAGAGACGGGCGGCAGCTGCAGATGGAGGGCCAGAGGATGCACCTACGGCAAGTGGTGGTATTACCCCGGGATACAATATGATACAAGATACAGTATACCGTATACCGCATTAATATGTATTAATCCAGATCCATTTTTTTCATATCATTGACTTTGGGAGAAAATAAGAAGTTGAAGTTGAAGTAAGGACAATGTATGGACTGTCGTGAGCAAATATTGAAGGATTTGAAGGTAGGAATTTGATTGAGGTAAAGTGGGTTCAAGGGGCAACATAGCAGGTGAGACTCTTGGATCTGCGTTCCCGTGGCACCTGTCTGCAAGGGAAGCCGCTCAGGCCCGAAGTCACCGCTTCTGGGGCACAGGGCCCCGTTTGGCCCATCGCAGCACAGGACACGTTCACAGCCATTCTCTCCTCGTAGTTCGTCAACGGCTCTTGCAGCACCAGGGGGAAGCGGAAAGTACCCGGATACGAAAGAAGTGCCGCAGCATTTGTAGCTGAGGCCTTCAAATCCTCGCACCATTTGGCGGCTGAAGGGTTAAAACAACTCAACCCTAAGGAAAGATAGGGTTGTATGGAAAAGTGAGGTGCCCCAAATCCACGGTTCTGTCATGTTCTGTCCTCATTTAAAAGAATCAAAGCGGCCGTTCCCCCCTTTTTCGTGTCTCCCCAACTTGGCGACACTTTTTGTTCTGCTTAGATCTGCTTAGCTTCCACACAGTCCATGGTATCAGTGGCATTGGACGCACAGCACCTGATGCCAGTGGCCTCCTCGACAACTCGCACTTGCAATGGTATGGTGGCGAAGCCCGGGTGCGTCGTGAGACCCACAGAATCTATTGCACCAAGGACCTCAGTGCAATGGCTGTCACAAAAAAGAAAATCTGACGTCTCTGTTACAAGGTCCCCAATTCATGCCTCCAGTTCAAGCTTCACTTTGAAAACGTGCCAAGTGCGTGCAAAGAAAGGACCCTCAGCTCCCCAATGTGTTGAAGCGTACTCACTTGATTGGGCTGAGGGCAGCCGATGGCGTCTTCACAAAAGCAAATGGCCTCGGTGCAGGGCCATAGCCAATTTTTTCGCGAAGCGAGAGAGCCAAACTGATACCTACAGTAATCAAGAGTAATCATCAGTAATCTAGTGTCAGAAACCCTCTGAACACCTCTAAGGAATAACATGAGTAAAAGACCCATGTCTTAGGTTCTTCCAAAAATGCCTCGTTTTGAAGCCGCCGACGGAAAACACGGAAAAAAATCCAAGCTCGCATCCAGGACGCCAAGGAGATTGGCTTTAGCTTTGTCCAGTATAGTTAATAGTTGGGGGCTATGACCAAATGATACAAGATGTGCTCTTTGCCAAACGATATTGATGATGTTGACCAGCTTTCGGCTAGCTTTTCATAAAGGCTTCTTTCAAGACATCATCCGGGGAATTTGTGAAAGGACAACAAGTTCCAAAGTATTGGCAATTGATTCAGCTCTTCCTTACTTAGTAAGGAAGAGCTGAATCAATTGCCAAAGCTGAAATACATATCTTTGTGTGTGTGTGTTGCAGTGCTCTCTGGCCCCAGCAATGGACCGCTAAGCAAGTGTAAGACTCAAAGGTGCAGCATACAAGACGTACAACTCGTTCGGATCCGGGGTGTTTGGCTTTACTGAGGGTCCAATTATCACATATCTTATGAAGTGAACGTAAAGTCTAAAATTCTCAATGTGTTGATAAAGGGTCAAGACACACAAAACTTGAGGGCAGTAAATTCATCCACAAGTGTGTGCCTTCCGGATTCTATTATTCATAGCTACAAATTTCAACTTAAATCCTACTCAAACGGAACTCGACACTTGCCCCCGGCCAACAGGCCCCCCACGACCCTGACCCTATGAAAAACCTTGGGACCGTTGCTAATTCTGCACACAAAATCAATCAAAAACATAACTTGATGGCATATCGTCCCCCCATGGAACATCATACTGTCATTCATCATAGGTGCCATTCTTCCCCCCAGTGACAGATCGCCGGGTCACATAGCGCCCCGACAGCATGGGCCAAGGCATCTCCACGCGCACTGACGCATCGCCCGGCAGAAGGGTGGCCTGCTGCACGTCTGCAGAAGTCAAGTCCTGACCACGGAGCTGATTCGTTCATTTTTCACATTGCGCACATACGAAAAATAAGACAATGCTAATAAAAGAATAATTGTAAGACCAATGTGTATATCTATCTGTCTATCATATCTGTCTATCATATCTGTCTATCATATCTGTCTATCATATCTGTCTATCATATCTGTCTGTCTGTCTGTCTGTCTGTCTGCCTGCCTGCCTGCCTGCCTGTCTGTCTGTCTATCCAGCCAATATCTATAACATACATCCAAAGAACAAGCGAAACATTGTGATTTGAGCCAAACGCAATTCCACCGACCAAGCGTGCGGCTTTTGAAGGAGGCCGGGCTGGGCCGGGCGCACCGCAAGTTGAAGAAAGCAACTGGGACCTCAACCTTCATTCTATCTCTGAAGACTCAAATGGAACCTTGAAAAGCTGGGAAACATGATTTTCTTATCTCTCTTGGCCAAAAACGCGGTAAGCCCAATAATAAACCTCCAAATTCTCTCGGCCTTTTACCGCCTACAATGGGATGGTTGATGGCTTGAGGTTTGCCACATTAATAGGATCAACACCCATTCTTGACCATTCTTGACAGTCAAGTCCCAGTTGATGGTTATCTCATCCATTATATATATATATATGTGTGTGTATGTAATTAAATTATATTCCCTTAAAATCCCTCAAAAGTCCCTACAGCATCTCATGTCAGGCATGGAAAAATCCCCCGACCTCGCAGGGCCTGTACTTCAGTTCTGCCAGGAAGAGTTTTCCTCTCTTTGCCACGATGGCATCCTCGCCTGGCTAGCGCATCCCCCACTAGTAGCAACCCCCAACAAGATAGAAAAGTAAAATCATACAAAAATTATCAAGAAAATGAGTGGCAAATATATTTGGCAAATGTTCATTTTATCTTTTTGGGGGTTATATACTCTAGTGGATAATCAAGGTTCACGGGGGGCTGTACATGGCAATGCTAGAAACAATACGATCTTGGTGATGGCTGTTACACTGTTGTTGAGATCGGGGGCTCTGGCTGGTATTCCTAGAATCACTTCAATGCTCATCCTCATCCTCTATGTCATATTCCTCGTCTGCAACCTCTCCTGAAATGTGAGCCTGGCCCGCTGGCGGCCTTGTGTCCACAAATAGGCAATAGCTCAACCTAATGCCTGTTGGCTTGGTTGGCTTTCCTAAAAATTCCTATGGCATCCTTTTTACAAAACGAACCTGCAACCTTTCCCCCAGAAGGAACTCCCCTCCATCCCACCAGGCTGGCCTTGCAGGTAGGTGGGGGTTTCAGGACATGTCAAGGAGGTGGGAACGCAATCCATGCGCAAGCCACCCTCAAGGCCGCCGGATCGCACGTAGCCCATCAAGGTGTTGAAGACCCGGCCCGACTGGCCATTCCTAAGGGTTATCCATGGATTTCAAGCTGAAATAGTGATGCCTCAAGTGCCCAAAACAATTACAGTAATGAGTCATGCGAGTCATGTGCAGCAAAATATATAATGTTACACGGGAAGTGGGCTTTGCACTCAGAGATCGAAAGAACATCCACTCCACACCCATTTGCTGGACAAAGGAAAGGGCTGTCCACTGGGAGGCATGGAATCTTCAGCCCCAGAGTCTGACATCCAAAAATGCCATAGACCGCAGCGGAGCAGAAACAGATGGTGGCCAGATCTCCCTCGTAGTTCTCCACATCGATGTTGGCCACTGCCGTGCTGCCCCCGAGGATGCTCATGGGAGCAGGTGTACCGATAGAGTCGATAGAGTCCAGATTAGCACAGCTGGAATTACCTGCGACCACAGCAGGGCAGGACCATGTGCCTCCTACTTCATCCAGTTTCTATGGGGTAGTGAATGCTAGTTATTGCTAGTTGGGTCATCCGATGTTATCCATAGAGCTTCCAATGAACCGACCTGTCCTTCCTCCTCAAACAATGGAGCACTTTGGATAAACCACCCAGTTTGGTCGTTTTTCGCTGCTGGTCTTCGCGATTTGAGGCATCCATTTCCTTGGAGAATCTACCTCCCACTGTGGGTTCGGATGTCGGGGCAAGCTATTTTCAGACAAATCCATTGTATTTTATGATATGTCAATTCCCATCAATTCCCCTCCTATCTCTTTCGCACCTGGCACGGCAATTGCAGCATCTCCCTTACTCATGCCAAAGGCTGACCGACCCAAACGACAGCGCTGTCCACGATAGCATCTCACGTCAGCGGGGCTACCCTCGAAACCCACCAAGGACAGGCTGCCGGCATTCTGCCAATCCTCAGCAAATGGAGTGGCGTTTGATGACCCGAAAAAATATATGGCTGAATATCATTGAGTTAAGATTTGCCGAGTTTGGGGCATGATGATGTACGACCCACTATTATCAAAGAGCACAATGATTGGCACTGTGCTCAAAAACGGTCTCAACTCAGTCTGCAAGATTCTGCTTGGCTGCAGATCTGGAATTGGTTGCCACCAATGGACTGCTTCTCGCAGTAGCACACTTTCAAAACCTCAGCCCAAAACGAAAACCGAGAACAAACAGAACCTTCAATTCTGCATCGCGGTCTTCCCTAGTGTAGAAAGAATACCGGACAAAAAAAATACGATGAAACAAAAATTCTTGGCTGTTTTCCTGCTGTTTTTTTTGTGCGCAGTGACCCTTTGCAGGCCATCGGTGGTCTCTAGCTCATAGCTCTCCGTCATCTCCGCTCCAATGGGCACCTGGAATTTCCATGCGAAGGCATCTCCCTGCAGTGGCAGCAGAGTGGTGCCACTTGCGGCCTCACCGCAGATGGCGCTGGGATTTCCGGAGACCAACTCGGCCATGTCTTCAGCTGAAAGGCCGCCTGAAGCGAGGTATCACCAGGGGAGCCCCAGTAGAATATGTCGCAGCAAATAAATGCAAACAATGGCTTCGGAAATGTACAAATTGATACAAATTGCATGATGCGCCAACAACATGATAGAAATCCAAAAATGTCCGCCTCGATCTGCTCGAACCTGAACTTCGCAGCTACTCTGCAGGGTACCATCGTGCGATACCAAGCAAGCACCAATTGGCACCTCAAGGGCCGACCCCAGGTCCCTCCAAACGTAAACACGTCCAGCATGCACTCCCTGAACACCCAAGCACATCTACGCGCAAGGTTTTCAGGCGGAATAAATATATATAGCGAGAGAGAGAGAGAGAGAAGATATTAAAGAAGATATCAAGAGGAGTTTCAAGTTTCAGCGTTTTATCTTGCCTCGCTGTGCTTGATTCCCATGGCATATGCCACTCCCACCAGTTGGTAAGCAGCGTAGTCCAATTCACAAGGCGAATCGTTGGGTCCTAAGACCACCCCAGAGGCTTGTGCAAAGTCATATTCCCCACTGGCCGCACAGTAGCAGATTCGAAAACTGCCCGGCATCCTCAGCTGCACGGGATACCAACTGGCCTTCAGCCAGCCAGGCGTGTTGGCTCCCGCGACAATGGGCCCACCATGCACCAAGGGCGAGGGCTCATAGCCTTTGATTTGCGCAATGCAGCAAGGCCCAAACAAATCTTCTAAAAACTAATTAAGGAAAAGGCGGATAAGAATCCACAGCAAAATATACAAAGAAACAAGTTAAACAGTTTCATTGTGTTTTCCAGATTGGGAGCGCAAGAAGGGGTCCAAATTCCCGAAAAAATGTCCATTGCAACGATCACAATTTGCACATACCACCCCAAAATGAACCAAAAAAAATGGGGAGAGAGAGAGAGAGAACGAAAAAACATGTTATTCTATAACAATTATATAAGATGTAAAAAAAATACTTTACTTCGAGCGATCCCCACCGTGACATTATAATAATGTCGTAGTTTCTGACACATAGTTTCTGGTATCTCACCTGGAAGTATATATGGCATTTTTTTTCTGACTTTCTATTCTGGCAGTCTTTCTGACATTCTATTCTGACATTCCCTTCTGGCATCTATTCTGACATCCTATTTGGCATCCTTTCTGGCATCTATTCTGACATTTTCTCTGGCATTCTATCTGGCATTCTTTCTGATAATCTATCTGGCATCTATTCTGAAATTCTTTCCGGCATCTCTTCTGGCACTTTATCTGGTCTGGCATCCTATGTGACACAGTTTCTGGCATAATATGTATCTGCCATATCTTCTGACATTCTTTCTGGCATTCTATCTGGTATATCTTCGGAGATTCTTTGTGGTTGAGGTCCGGCAGGGAACACTTGGCGTGGATACTCGCGGTTGAGGTCCGGCAGGGAACACTGGGCGTGGATGGTCGTGGTTGAGGTCCGGCAGGGAACACTGGGCGGGGATGGTCGTGGTTGAGGTCCGGCAGGGAACACTGGGCGTGGATGGTCGTGGTTGAGGTCCGACAGAGAACACTGTGCGTCGAGGGTCGCGGTTGAGCAGGAGGAGGAGGAGAGGAGAGGAGGAGAGGAGCAGGCAACTGACATAAAATCTAACAACCCTCACCTGGCAGGTGGGGAATAAATGCTCAAAGAATGTTGATTTATATGTATATCTCAACAAACTCCAGGTAGCTGCCCTGCGAGTGGTAGACATAGGTCGCCACCGAGACCGAGAAGCGCCTTGCCTCGCTCTCTGCGCTGTCTGTGCGGCCTGGGCAGCCGCCCCCGGCCTCTCGGATAATGGCGCGGTCGCGACTGCTGAGGTCTGGGCCGGTGAGTTCCAATTTGAAGGAAGCACCTGAGGGATTCATCAAGAAATGTCAAGAATCATCCGGAGGGGGGAATCTTCACCAAAACTTTGGACTCCAGAAAATTTACTGGGATGGGCCCACAAAAACTTAGACTGCACCAGAAAAAAGATGCAAAAACTGTGGTGTTCAGCAGCAAAAGAAGTGCGATTTAACCCGGAAAAAATCGGATTTGACCTATTTAACCGGTAACAATGATAGAGATATCATGGAATATGTATGTAATGAGGGGCATTCCCTTTGATATTTCATGGAGATTACTTAACCTATTTGTCCCCCCTAAGTCATAGAGTCATAGAGTTTGTATATTGTTAATGGATCATGGACTGTGAAGGAATCATCCTGAAAGATTGGTGATTGACCAGGAGCAAGTTGAATTCAACCAGCAAAAATTGCTTGGAAAAGCAGGGAAGAACTACTGTAACCATCTTGGGGATTTTTTGTGGGATACGACCAGCCATTTTGTGGCGGGTGTGAATGGGGATGTGGATGATGAGGGATTAGCAACCATCCTATGGTGGAATGTGATGGGATAGGATTGGATATAACCAACAATATGGGTATCTCAAGGAATCATCCAGAGACATTGGTATTGAAGAGGATTTAATCAAGAATGTGGATCGTGTAAACCGATCCAAATTAAGTGGATATGATAATATATCACCAACACTATCATATGTGATATGAGGGTTTGTCGAAACTGGGTGGTCCCTCAAGTCATGGCAAGTTTAATGAGTGAAAAATGGTGATAATCCCTCAGACTCTTGAGCAAGCTATTTTCGGGTGTGCAATGATACCATGGGAGTTGCCAACAACAATGGTCTAGAATTGGTAAGCCAAAAAAGGATATAGGCAACGAGTGATGGGGACACACGGAATACCTGTAGGAATCCATTTTGTGTTGGAAAAGTTTGAGAAATCTCCAGGCTGAACAAATTGTTGTCAAAAATCCCCTGTGATGGTGCATCTATACCCTGTGATGGTGCATCTATAGGTGCAAAAATGACATTAAATGCCTTTTTGACAAAAAATAGAGGGGCTAGTGTAGCATACCAGGTGTCACCAGTTCGTTTGTCATAATTCACTGAACCTACTGGTTGTCTCAACCACTGGGCAAAAGACATCAAGAGCGGATCAGATTGCGCAGAATGATCAGAAAAATCTTCAGAAATATGCAGGTTCAAACCTGAGGATCTTGATGATTCACCCTTCTTGCCACACGATTTTCATACTCTGAACAAACATGTCAAGATTCCTCAGATTCCAGGGAAGTTTGATGAAGTTTCGGGGACTTTTGTGACATTTTGCGATCATCCGGCCTGGCATCTTGAAGATTTCTGAAAAGCCATCCGGCCCTGGAACCTCTGTGGCCCATCCCCACTTCGCGTTCGCGCTCAGTTGGAGGATCAGTACGATCCACATGCCGGATCCGCGATGGGCGCCACGGGCGCGACAAAAGATGCAAATTCGCTATCTAAGACTACAAGACTACATTGAATTTGAACCATGTCCTACCTAACGAGCCCACATGCTGCAAAATTCATGCATAAATCGCATAAATCATAAATGTGTAAAAACTCGTCTGTTGGTGACACACTGGTGACACCATATCATTTCAAAGGAAAGCACTGAAGTAGTACAATTACACTTCAAAGCCAGTGACAGACTAGCAGAGACTCAACAAGTTGCTGTGAGTCGCAGACATGAATCCAGCCATATCTGCTGATTCATCCGCGTACCAAGGGTCATGTTTATTGCAGTGGTCACTCGTAGTTCCCTTCATGGGTATCCCAACCCAAAGCTAGCCGCCCAATGATGGGTTTTTCGAGTCGCCCGCAAGTGTGATGGGTTTTTTAGATGCTTTTTGGTGGTTTTTGACCCCAGAAATGTATCCAATGCTTATCCTGGGATATCCTGGGGCTGGTTAGCCCATGTAAAACCCCGTTGTGCTCCAAGAAACTCGTCAAATTCAATTTCTCCAGAGCCATCCACATCGATCTCTTTCATGATCTCCTCCACCTCGGACGCAACAAACAAAAATCGTCACATGGCGTTCACTTTGCGACGCCATAAGGGGTCTGTTTGGGGTACACCTCCTTGGTAAACACTAACACAAAACTATGGAAAATCACCATTTTTAATGGGTAAATCAACTATTTCTATGGCCATTTTCAATAGCTATGTTAGTTTACCAGAGGGTAAATGGAATGAATGTCAAGTCGCAGAGTCCCTTCGCATCAATCAAGTCGTTTCGATGCGCGTGCAGAATACGATGCGAGTCACTGCAAGCATCCAAGTACAAAAAACACCGTAAATATCTCTATGGCACTATGGACCGAACAGACCGAACATGTTTCCAGTTACGTAGATATCAAACACATTATAATATATATATATATATTGCCATCACCTCTGGAACGAAAAATGAAACATGACATAGTACAACCATCGCAGTACGCAACTCCTGCCATATGGAGCCCCAAAGTATTGCCTCAGTGGCGTTCAATGTGCTGGCAAGCAGCGGACTGTTTGCCCGGAATCAACTCGCCCACACCTGGCAGCCACTAGTCATGCTTGTCCTCCATTAGTCTTGGTGCTGTACCTTCAGGAATGATGAGTTTCGAAGACAGGTGCAGGATCTATGGCTAGGATCACCACAAATCAAGGACTTGGTGATAAATGCGATGAATACATTATACATATATATATACTTACATACATAACCCCCTGCTATCCCAAGGACTCAATGACTGCCCGCAGCCGGTCCCAAGGTCCCCCTGCTGTCGTCTTCCAGAACGTGTCTGAGCTCATCCATGCAGATTTTGCCTGGAGCCCCATCGAGTCACATCCAGGATGGAGCTGCTGTTTCCCCTAAAAAACATTGGGGGAAAACAGTGGAAAAGGCATTGGAACAACTCTGCTTGATGTTGGGGATTCATTCCCGAAATTCATCAAAATTCTAAGGAAGCAGCCCACTTTTTAACCCATCTTTCCAATGAAAACTATGAAAGTGGTGGTTCAGGTCAACTTTTTTTTCAAACCTCATAAGCCCGGCGCACGGTTTTTTCAAACCTCCCTTTGCGCTGGGTGCGGGGACCATCCCCGTTCCGGTCGAAGACGCAGAAAGCGGACCACAGGGCATCTTCTTGCAGGTAATGCCTGGGGCACTGGGGCAGCTGTCACTGGGGCAACTGCCATGAAAATGTCCAACTGTGATTAAAAACCCAGGAATGGCTCGTGGTTCACGCGCAGGAAAAATCAGCAAACAGGAAAAACATGAGGATGTAGTGCAAAACAAAATGAAAACAACCAGCTTGGCCGTGTGGGGTGATGCAATGCATTCTCATAGGCCCATTGCAATGTTCCACGGTCCAACCCCTCCCCTTGAAGGGGGAGGACCAACTGGCTCCCCTGTCAAGGCCAACCATGGCGTGCTCAGGCGTCCACTTTTTGTCCAGGGTAGCTGCCAAGAACTCCTTCGGCCAGGAGGATGGGAATGGATGGCCAAACGGAAAGGAGCGCCACTGTCCAGTGGCCAAGTCTTTTGATGGAGGCCCTGGATGGCTCTGGTGCATCGTCATCATTCCCATGACATCAACCTCCTCAAGTTGGAAAGTTGAAGACCCCGGCCCTGTCCTTGTACTCGATGCTGCCACTCCTACGAGGCGCTCAAGTGAGGTGACCATCATATCTGGTGGGGTCATCCAAACCGGTCCAAACCCAACCCCCCATGTGTCCGCAACCCGCCCACGGTGAGGGGCTCCCGTCGCAGTCCACACCGGCAAGGATGTTCTTCCTTGGAAGTGTGTCAAGTATTGGCAAGCGACATAGAGCGGACCACCATCTGATGTTCAAGTTGGCTTCAACAGACTTGAACTGCAGTGATTGAAGACACACCAACGGAAACACAATGGAAACACAATTAAAACCAGAGTTAATTGATGCCATGCACAATCGAAACACACCAACGTAAGGAACAGTCAAAAGTCGAAGTTAATGGATTTTGAATTTTGTTTTCATTGATATTCATTGTCAGGCCTTGGGCCACAATGGATATCCCAACTCAAATGCTGAAGTTTCATGCTATATCACCTTGTGCCCTGTTTGATCTATTTGTTGAAGCCTAACATTCCCAATCACCAAGGGTCAGGTCATTGTCTTTCATGCCAGCCGCCTTGAGACCATCGCCTTGGGCCATGCGATTTTCCATCACCATCCATCATCAGTCGATTGTGGATCATCCCATAACAGTGCTAGAAATTCATGAACAAATTCTAACAGCGAAGAGAGAAAATCGAGGCTTACCAGGGGAGAATGTCGGGTCAGCAAAGTTTCATCTTCTTTTGAGTCGGTTTCAAGTCAGAAGTCAGAAGTATTCCAACGAGCGGGTTGGGATTCACATGACCCCGCGCGGACCAGGGTCCGCATCGGGTTGCCCCAACCGCTTGTCGAGATGAAGTCAGCTCCACAACTGGATGAGCACGTAGGTCAAAGTTTGCCAAGCATTTGGGCATGGTTCATAGTATAAATCCCATAAATGATGGGATGGTTTTTAGATCTCAGATGACCTTACCCAAGTCCATATGCGTGGGCTCAGTACAGCAGCAAAAAAAAATCTACGGGTGGATCCTGGGGGCCTCAAAAATCCCAAACACCAAAAATGTGAAAAAAACAACTCTCGAAAAAAAAAAAAAAACCTTTAAAAAAAGAGAAAGAATATCAGATCATCCAGGATCATCCATGTCAAACAAACTCACAAACTCACCAAGTCCTGTCCGAAGCACTGATCTCTTTGATGCTGAGCCGTCCATCCCCATTGCTGTCCAAAGCCAGGAACCTCAGAGGTCGCTTGCTTTGGAAAGAAGATCTACAGGAAACCAATGGAAACCCATGGTGGTTTACGCTGTTTTACCAACACAACCTGGAAGGGTGTCCTCCAACTTGAGTTTCCAACTGGGCAGGTCATTTGGAAAAAATCCGGCCACGCACTTGCCAGTTCTTCTACTAAAAACCACCCTGAGGCCTTCAATCTGACCTGAACTCAACGGATTCTCGGGCCCAAAATGGGACACCTACCCAATATCCCAATATCCAATGGGATATGGCTCAAAAATTCCGAGCCCCACTTTGGGATGAACAAAAAACATGTGGGTCTGTTGAACTATACCCATCTAGCTGCAGGCTGCAGCCAGTTGAGCTTAGCAACTGTCTCCGCAGGTTTTCGATCTTGTCTTCGCTCAGTTGCGTCCTCGGGATTTTTTCGAAATCCCAGAGAACTGCAGAAGGGTCAGGCCGTTTCCGTACTGGAAAGGTAGGATTTTGAGTTCTCACAAAAGCCCAAAAAGAGCAGGGCGCACAGAACAAAAATCCAAACTGAGGTCAATCTTCTACAAGTAGATATGGTGGATCTATAGTTACTATAGATTACTATAGTTAAACTAACTATAGTTCCACTATATCCCAGTGTGGCTACAACAATAAACCATCCCCAGTCATCAGTGCCGGCCCCAGGAGTCGAACGCGATGACTTGAAGCGCCATCTTCCTGCGAGGCCATGAAATAGGAAATGAGGTCAGGTGGTGGTTGAATAAATTAACAAAAAGATAAATAAATATATATTATATATATATATAGTCTCCATGAGACATAGAATAAATAAATAAATGAATAAATAAATGTATATATATATATAATGTCTCTATGAGACATAGAACAGATACATAGAATGACATAAACAGACATGAATTGCCACCTCAAACATGCAAGTCGAAAAGCGCATGTCACCGAACCAAGGCTCTTGAAACGATTTGTAGATCTGAAGTTCTTCAGATTGCTCACCTCAGCAAGGCCCAAACACTATGCTTCATCCATGTGTGTTTCCATTTCTCAGTCCAACACAGTGGGACAGAATTGCACACTCACATGTCTATCATTTCGCCGGGATGCTGAGGTTGTATTCAATGGCTCTTTGCTACTGTGTGGTGCCTTCTCCTTAATCCAAATGTGGTTTAAGGCCTCGGTCAGGGCTTGGGACATGCCCTGAAGGCTTCTGGAAGTACTGTCCACAAGAAGGAAGGCTAGAGCGGCTAGTGGCTAGTTGTCTGTGGGATAAGCCCAGTGAATCCCGCTGATGAGCTGCAGCATACACCACTTACTAGCTGGAATGCACATCCAAGTAGAATCGGACATGCAAGAAAAAAGTGAGCGATTTGCGGCTGAAAAATGGCCAACATCTATGGTTTCCACATACTGATGCTCACATCAACTGAACCCAAGACTGCAAAGGCAAACAGCTTGAACCTGTCTATGGAAACTTCTTCCATGGCCCAGAAACGCCTCTCCCACTCCGAACCAAAATCAAACTGGAACACAAAAACTGCCAGGCTCGGCCTGCTCCGCTGTGAAACGATCTGCTGGCTTCATCTCTAAAAGCTTTTTGATGAGCTGCTTAGCGTCATCCGACACCTGTGTGGTGACATATTCGGCTTGAGTTTGGCTATGTTTGGCTGCACGATGGGGAAAAAACACCTGGAAAAAACATGAAATGTGAAATGTCTGACACCATCTGACACCACCATTTCATCTACTTCCAGCTCGCAACTCACAGTCGCATCGCAGTCGCCAGAATGCGCCTGATGCCAGTCCTCTTGTGGAAAGGTGAAATGTCCCCTGACACGGGACACGGGACATTTGTGGCAGGACATGAGGGACTGCACCGCTCACGCCTGCGGACCATGGCTAGGACCTGCGGATCTGTGTCGGCCAAGAAGGGAGGGTAGCCACACAGGAGCACCTGGTCCATTGGGATGATCGCTAGAAGGTACTGCAGTCACTGAGACAAGGCATGACACAGGAGATGCTTAGCCTGGGACACAAGGCACATCAAGGCACATCAAGGCACGCAACTTTGATTTTTTGGGGATATTTGGGGATATTTGGGGATATGTGGGGATATTTCCAGAGATTTCTCTGGCGATATGGTGCACCTCGTGCGAGGGGTCAGAAACCGCATCACTAGGCCGCACCCTCGATACCCATCCCCAGGCACATACATGATGACACCACAGCTCCAAATGTCGCAAAGCTCATTGTAGTGACCCTGCAACACCTGGGGAGCCACCTCAGAAGCAGGGCCAAAGTCCAGGGAGTCATGAAGCTGCTTGGATGAGCATGTAATGACTGCATTGATGATCTGATCTGTATATCTCTCTCTCTCTCTCTCTCTCCTTCGCCTTCTCGATCTGATCTGTATCTACATAGTTCTTTCTGTTCTTTCTCCATTTTACATTGTTTTCACTTTCAACTGCGCCCTCCCTGGGGCCAGACTCCTTTTCTCTATCATGTCCATCTTTCTTTCTGCAACGAGATAGAGATAGAGAGAGGGAGAGACCTTGAGAAATTCAGTTGGTGAACTTCCCAACCAACCCGTCGGAACCAGTGAGGCTCCCGGCATAGTATGGCGTGCCGGACTTGGTCTTCATGGCTTCGTTGGGCCTGGAGCTGGACGGGGCGAACGTTTCCCCGAAATCCACGCAATTCCATTGCAGTCCTTCAGGAAAAACCTCAAAAGAGCGCACCAAAATAATTCAACCCTAGATAAACCCTAAACCAACCCTAAAATGCACCATAAATAACCAAAACAAACCCTGAAACAAGCCTGAATATCCTGAATAAACCCTAAACCAACCCTACATAAACCTTCAAACAAACCACAACAAATCCTCATGTAATCCCAACGTACCTGAACCCCCCAATGAAACTTGGGGCGACCGTCCGCCCCGGATGGATAAATATACGGAGATACTATATGTATAAATATGTAAATATAATAATTACCGTAAATATACATATGTGTACGTGTGTGTGTGTGGGTGTGCACGTGTGTCTATGTTCCTCTGTTTATATGATATGATATGATATATCGTATATGTTACGTATTCACTTTAGGTTGTTATATACCCCTTTTAATGCGTCAGGGTGACCTTCCCGCGAGCCCTCAAAAGTAGCAACCGAGCAGCTTATAGGGAGTTGCCAGGCCAAAGTCGATCAACTTCAGGAGATTTTTCTCAATGCTCTCCTTTTGGCCGGATGCCCCGAGTTGCATAAGTTGCCAAGTTCAGGTGCCCTGTAGGCCGTGAACATCAAAAAACATTGGTCCATTTCAAGGTTCAAGGATTCTCCGGTCCCCTGAGTTTGAAATCTGGCCATGAACATGCCCAAAACCTGTTGGGAAACGGCCCAAGGTACAGCTCCTTGGTATGAAACAAAAAGTTCTCGGGTTTCAGGTCCTTGGTTTTCAAACTGGCCACAGAAATGGCGCCGAAACGAGCCAAGTCTGATCGCCCAAGCATTTCAGGTCGTTGCGCGGTGGCAAATGTGGTTGGTGTGCAAGTAGTAGATGGCGCTAATCATCTGCTTCATGACCTCATTTCTGTGGCCGGTTGGGATGCGAGCACCCAGGGATTCCGAGGCTAGACATGAAGACTACTTTCCTCTAAAACTCGCTGATTCTCAGGGTCTATGTTTGTTTCGGGGAATGGTAATTGGGGCATATTTAACAGGATGAACTGAGATGGTCATTATGATTAGTTCCCATTTGCTAGCTGGGATGCTTGATGCTTATTGAGGCAGCACAGCCCTGTGGCCCTGTCTTTTGGCAAACCCACCATCCCCAAGTCAGGCATCCTATGCCCTCAAATCTTGTTCTTGGTGCTATATATTCCATTACATTTTTCCCTATGATAGTTTTTCGGTTTTCTACCCCCATAGTTGCCGGTGAAGTTCCTCAAAATGTTAGAGGCTTAAAAACCCTTCTGAGCATCATATGGTTGCTTCTATCCAACCAAAAATCCCGAAAAATATCCATTCATCATTGGTGAGAAGTCCCCATTCAGGTCATGCTTAGATCCCCATGAATTGGGAATCTTCACCAGGCCCCTAGGTGCCCCCACAATGGCCGCTTGCGATTCGGTGAAGTGGCCTGCCTCCACGATTCGGTCGAAGAGCTCTCCACCTGAGTAGACAACTTACTGATGATGCCTTTCGGGGGTTTAGAGGGATAATAGGACCTTGATCGGGACTCTACAGGGATTTTGTAGGGATACAAGTGATATAACATGAATTAACATGATATAACCATCAAAAATTGGACATAAGTGTCAAAAATAGGGGGTTAATCCCATCCCCCTATTCTTCCATGTCAAGAAATTTGGGCTTTCATCCCCCAACAAGGCAACATACATCACACGGAATTTCTGCAGAGTTGGTTTCGACCAGCGAAACCCGAAACCCGAAACCCGAAATCGATTGTTAAAGTTGGTTTCGAACTGCGAAACCCGAAACCCGAAACCGACTCTGAAGACTTAACTTCCCCAGGACCGATCGAAACCCGAAACCCGAAACCGACTGTTAAAGTTGGTTTCGAACCGCGAAACCCGAAACCCGAAACCCGAAACCGACAGCGAAAGTTGGTTTCAAGCGACGAAACCCGAAACCCGAAACCCGAAACCGACAGCGAAAGTGGGTTTCAATCCACGAAACCCGAAACCCGAAACCCGAAACCGACAGCGAAAGTGGGTTTCAATCGACGAAACCCGAAACCCGAAACCCGAAACGGACAGCGAAAGTTGGTTTCAAGCGACGAAACCCGAAACCCGAAACCGACAGCGAAAGTTGGTTTCAATCGACGAAACCCGAAACCCGAAACCCGAAACCCGAAACCGACAGCGAAAGTTGGTTTCAATCGACGAAACCCGAAACCCGAAACCCGAAACCGAAACCCGAAACCGACTCGAATCCGACTTTTGGGTGGCTCTCCGGATCGGAACTCAAACTGACATAGAATCCAAAAACTGGGTTGGATTTTTTTTGGATCCTGAAACTGCCATTGTTGGGGGTTCTTTTTGTCGAACTCAGGCAGAAATCGGGATGAAAGACTTGATCCTTTTTCACTGGAAGGATGGGGTAGGACCTACAGGTATAGTCACTGGGGTATGACCACCGTCTTGTCGGCAGAAGCTCACCAACAATCGAAGCCACTCACTATTGGATCTGGCTGTGGCAAAGTTGCCATGACAATTTTCTCCGGCTTGCAACCATCACCAAACGGGTGTCTCTGGCGCCAGTTTGAGCTGGGGAAAAATGGCGACCCTTGAATGACAACCCCATGGATCGCAACGGATCAACACAGTGAACACAAGGTCGTCCTATCAATTGACATCATCGCACCACAACATACTTCACTTTTTCCGACTGCCTACCGCAGATTCCGATGCTGCATGCTCCAGACATTGCTCAGTGCTTGTTTCTGGAAACTGCAGCGCAAAAACAGAGATGGGTTTGTCCAAAGTTGAGAATTGCATTATCCTGAGACATTTTGATCAAACATGATATTTTTGAGTGTTGTTTCTTTTCAGACAGACCCAAATGAAAGGGACTTTCAGCACTCAAATAGCACAATACACTAGGTGCAGGCAGATAGATAGATAGATAGATAGATAGATAGATTAATAGATTAATAGATTAATAGATTAATAGATTAGATAGAGAGGGAGGTAGATAGATAGATAGATAGATAGATAGATTAGATAGATTAGATAGATTAGATAGATTAGATAGATTAGATAGATAGATAGATTAGATAGATAGATAGATAGATAGATAGATAGATAGATAGATAGATTAGATAGATTAGATAGATTAGATAGATTAGATAGATTAGATAGATTAGATAGATTAGATAGATTAGATAGATTAGATAGATTAGATAGATTAGATAGATTAGATAGATTAGATAGATTAGATAGATTAGATAGATAGATAGATAGACGGACGGACGGACGGATGGATGGATGGATGGATGAATAGATGGATAGATGGATGGATGGATGGATAGATAGATAGATAGATCGATAGTTAGATACAAGTAGATAGATAGATCGATAGATTGATTGATTGATTGAAACAAATTCAAGCCTCGCAGCTGGGATAAAATGGTTCAGGAAAGGAATACCCAATTGCTGCATTCATCCATCGTTCCCAGTTTGACTGGGGATGTAGGCACTACGCAAGTAAAAAGGAAAAAAGGAAAAGTCTGTACAAACATTGTAACATACGCTCCCTGATTCGATTTGTCGATATGATTCATATCGAAAGGATCACGGGATTGCTGGATTTCCACATTTCACCTTCAGCTTCAGTTGGTTCTTCTATGGCTTCCAGCCAATCTGCTCCAGACCCGGCCGATGCCTGACTCTTAACGGTGCCCGCTGTCACGATGGACGAACACTTCATCATCTCCCCTCCCAACGCTTCCAAGAGGTAGTCCGGCATACCTCCAAGCTCCTCGCGAGCACAGGCAAGGCGCATTTGACACCGATGCCACCTGGAACTTGAATCACCAAGATGTGTATTCATGTATATATATATGCTGTATGTGTGGTAATGTCATGTAATGTACTGTTAATGTTAATGTTAATGTAACGTAACCTAATGTAACCTAATGTAATGTAATGTAATGTAGTGTAGTGTAATGTAATGTAACGTAACGTAACGTAATGTATGTGCGTGATATACATGCATATATATTCATATATGCATATGTGCATGTTGTATAGACTATTTCATATGCATATGTGCTGTGCATGTTGTATAGACTATTTCTATGCGAGAACTATGTGCATATATATATATATATACATGCATGCATACATAAATACATACATACATACATACATTACATTACATTACGTTACATTACATTACATTACATTACATACATACATACGTACATACATACATACATACTTACACTACGTTACGTTACGTTACCTTACGTTACGTTACGTTACGTTGCGTTGCGTTACGTTACATTACATTACATTACATTACATACATACATACATACAATTACATACATATACATTCATATATATATACATCGGGGTCTTTGAGTACGTAATGTAATGTAATGTAATGTAGTGTACACGGAACGTAATATAATGTAATGTACTGGATGTATGTTTGTATGCTTCTATAGCCCACAAGCCCAGGAGGGACTTCGAATCACCGATGCTTTCAGGAACTTCCTCGGCCAGCTCTGCCGGAGACACGCCCCTGGCATTCCGCTGGTCTGCCGAGGCACCTGACCACGAGATGGGTGGCTTAGTTCAGTAAGAATAGCAATATCTATAGTTATATCCTATACTTATATCTATAGTTGTATCTATAGTTACAGTATATCATAGGCTAAAATTCTAAAGGCGTTGGACTTTTGGTGGATACATCATATACATGAGAGTAGTAATATCATGTAATATCGATGGGGCCAACCAGTGGCATATAACTCGAAGCCACCAAGGTTTTGAAATTATCAACCACTTAGACCGTCACTTTAAATCAAGAAGCCATCAACACCAGCCCACCTAGGCAGAAAACCATTTTCGTAATATCTATCTGTCTGTCTATCTATCTATCTATCTGTCTATCTATCTATCTGTCTATCTATCTACCTACCTACCTACCTATCTATCTATCTACCTACCTACGAGTACCTACCTATCTATCTAATCTATCTATCTATCTATCTATCTATCTATCTATCTATCTATCCATCCATCTATCTATCTATCTATCTATCCATCGATCTATCGATCTATCGATCTATCGATCTATCGATCTATCTATCTATCGATCTATCGATCTATCGATCTATCGATCTATCTATCTATCTACCTATCTATCTGTCTATCTATCCATCGATCTATCTATCGATCTATCGATCTATCGATCTATCCATCAATCTATCGATCTATCGATCTATCGATCTATCGATCTATCTATCTATCTATCGATCTATCGATCTATCTATCGATCTATCGATCTATCTATCTATCTATCGATCTATCTATCTATCGATCTATCGATCTATCGATCTATCTATCGATCTATCTATCTATCTATCTATCTATCTATCTATCCATCTATCTGTCTATCTATCTATCGATCGATCTATCGTTCTATCGATCTATCGATCTATCTATCCATCCATCCATCCAAGTATCTATCCATCCATCCATCCATCACCACATCCCAATTGTATCCACTTATTTATTTACTTATTTATTTATTTATGCAGTCACCAAAATGGACGAGAACATGCAAAAAACAAATTGCAGATTTACGGCAAAAAAAGTCAAAATTCTCTAAAATTAGTGCAAATGCTTTTAAAAAAATGCCAAAAAAGTGAAAATTAGCCTAAATCGCGATTTGGCAAATACGGACTTTTTTGCCATAAATCGATATTTCGATGAAAACCAAATTATGTCCGAAAAGTGCCTAAATCAGGAAATGGCTATATTTCATTGATTTCACAGAGACCCCCCCTCACAGGCCCGAATGGCCGTTCTTAACACAGTCATGTTCCTCTTTTTCTTGTGATTTCACCCCATCCTAGAGCCGCTTTTTTACCGACCTTCGTAGAGCAGCCTTGCTGCCGCTTCGTAGTTGCCGCAAATGATCGCCAGCAACAGCGGTGTCGCAGCACTCGAGTGGTATGCAAATCGTCGCATCATGGTGTGGCGGCCATATTTGTACTGAAGACCTGCACTATGGTGGGCACTAGCCCAGCTGAACTTGGAAAACAAGGGTGCCATGCTTTGTTCTGGTTGGATGATGAGGATCTTCATTGATACTCCATAGAGATATGAGCTTTTGTCAAGACTCATTGTCTTCGCCAAGCTCCCAAGAGAAGGGTATCGATCTTGGGGGAGGCCTTATCACATGGTCTTGTACTTTTGATGAGAGAGGAGCACATCTATGCAAAGAAAAGAAGAGCAAAAGAGAAAAAGAGAGGAAAGAGAGGAAAGAAAGAGAGGAAAAGAGCAAAGGAAAAGGAGGAACAGAGACAAGGAAGAGAGGAAATAGAAAAGAGTATATAACGGGAAGAAGAGAGACAGAGATGCCGTTGTAGATATAGTAGATTATAGCAGTAGATTTAAGAACATCCGCTGAGCA